AGAAGCTCTTTGAAGTACAACTAGAAAAACCGTTTATTTACATGATTAAATGGACACATTTTCAAGTATATATAATTGAACAAGCAAATGGAAGATATCCGATAATCCAAATGTAAAAATACAATTGATCGTTGTGGCATACCGAGAGGCAGGTAAAACAGTTGAAAAGAAATAAAAAAAGGAAACTAATCAATCAACACTCAAGCAAGAGACGCCGGCAAACGGCAGCAAGAGGTGTGCGTTAAATTACTTACCGATTTGTTTGAATTTCAGTGGTACAAGTGATTAGCGAGTCAAAGCAAGAATCACAGGTGCGACGAGAGCGGCCAATACAGTGCATTGAGTGGCTGATTTCAAGTTCATCAATTTCATCACATCTTCCAAACCTCCCTTCTCGAAAATGTTGTTCAACATGTCTTGCCATTTCGCCTTGTTCTGCTCGAATTTCGCCTCGCCATCCCTCTTCACCTGAATTAGATCGATAGTGTCTCAGTCAGTGAGAATCATACAATTTTGAAGTTGCATACAGAGCCCCTCGCAAGTTGGGGCATCCCCAGCCAGGGAAGTCGTATTGAGTTGTGCTGGAGGGGGCTGTACTTCGAGAAAAATGTTTTCAGTGACCAAAATTAAGAAAAACTAGGAGGATGCCGACTTCTGGATGGGGAAGGTCGCTACACAAGAAGGACTTTTCGAGAGGGAAGTGGGAGCCGTACGAATGCGAAAAGCCACCTACCATGCTTTCGGTCACTTACTGTGCTGCAGTATAATTTTAAGTACTTCAAAGACAAAATCTGCTCTGACAACGCGAGGTGGGATAGCAGTACTTTTCTTCGTCATTGGGCTGCGCACACCACCCACCAGCTGATGTGGACCAAGGCCTTTTACAAACAAAATCGAATCTTCCGTTCGCTAGGAAACGTACGCACTGTGGCGCACTGCTTATGAGCACTTTTCTTAAACACCGTCGTTCTGCTGGAACAACCCTTATGTACAGGCTTGTTCTCTGCTGATTCCTGTAGGGTCAGAAGTCAGTCCAATCATTAAAAAATTGTGGAGAATAAAATCAGAAATATACTTAGTCATGTTATTTGATTATTATAATTTCTAGACACCCAAAAACAAATGCGCAGTGGGGAACATTTCTCAAAGTCCTCGCGCGTTTCAAAAGGAAGTCAACGCATTGGCGCATCTCCGGGAACAGGGCGCCAACCATAGTTGTTGCTGGGATCCCAATATGGGGTCGTAATTTGGCCGCCTAGGAGCAGGGTCGTATTTCGGTGGGAAAAATTTATACTTGATAGTTGGTTCTTTCTCGCTTTCGTTGAGGTTCTGACGGGGGGGGCGGGGAGTCCGTTAGCCTGGGGCATTCTTGGGAGGGGGGGGGTCGTATTTACGTTTTGGCGTTGTAGGAGTAGTGGTTGATTTTTGGTGATTTTCCTGTTTCACATGTGCTATTTACCCCACCCCCCCCCTCCCCCGCTCGACGGCTCGATTCGATGAGGAGGAACAGAGGGCAGTAGGCGGAGGGGGAGGGGGGGGGGGGGGTCGTATGGACTCGACTAAAGTCCCCAACCAATGATGTGCCCTGCTCCGGAAGGGTAACTGACTTGTAGTCCTTTCCTACTGTTTTGCTTGCATTCTTTTCCAACCTTTTTGTTTTTTCTTTGTTTCCATCTTTATTTTCTCACTTTTTCCCTCTACGGTACTTGTCGGCTAGGATTCAGAGAACACTATAGGCCAATTAGGAACATTTGGTTGAAAACACTCCCTCCTCAACTTGACAGGAAACTGGAGGAATATATTCAAACTGCGATAGAACTAGTAGCACTAGTTAGGCAGGGGGTTTAATGCATTTCATGCCTGGTTATAATTATAAACCCTACCTCACGGCCTAGCAAGGCTAGATGCTTAGCGTCACACTTGTCTCAACAGAACCTCTCCCAAAGGGACTTAGCCTTCCCAGAAGATTTTTATTGTCGTTCCCAGTCAGGTAGCTCATACTCGTCAACCAAATAACCAGTTTCAGCGCCATGTTTACAACACGCGTCGTCTCTCTGGTCCCCATTTTCGCCGCGACAACGTAAATGTTTCTCCGGGCAAGTCTCTTAGTGGAACACAAATCGGGCTTAGCTCAGCCTCAGATGGAATGCAGTTTTTAGCCTTTTCTCATCTTACAAAGTGGATAATCGCCTGTATGCGTCATTTGTTATTGGCTGAACACAGTCTTCGTGGCCTGGAAAAGTAATCTGGAAAAAGGCTAATCTGAAATCGCAATGGTGGGCATTGCGTTCCCAGAACACATATAGACGATAACGTCGCAATTAGTCGATGCGGTGTCAGAAGGGTGGAATGAGCCCACCTTCGTCAGCCTGTTCCATCCCCCTTGAAACCGCCCCTACTAATGACGACGATATCAAACTGTAGCAGTATAGAATCACGAGAATTCAAAACTGCAAGGGGGGGGGGGACTATGTTGCAGAGACATAGCGAGAGGGCATAGTAATAAGAGGCTGCAAGCATAATGAAACAGAACGACGGTAAAGCCGTTGAGTTACCTGAATGAAAAAAAAGGTTACAAAGAGCGTAAAGGAGTCCAGTGGCAAGGAGTTGGCGTTCTGAGCTCTTTCTACGACAAGCTTTACTTACTACTACTACTAGGCGCCTGCGGCCCCATGGTACTACATTGTCAGCGAGGTTCCACGGGGACTGTGTCAATCGGGAACCATCGTACATTCCACTGGAGGGGTCAGAAAATTATCGAGGCGGTTGTATTTCGGAATTTTATCCTCAGGACGTGCCCTTTCAATCCATGAACATTTGCTCATCAGCCCTTGATTACACTCCATACCCTGAACCTGGAGAGGGTGGGCCACCATCTGAAAGTTGTGTGCAATGCGCTTCTCATAGCATGTGGAATATTTTCATCTGAGACAACTGTCATTCTGTCGCATGCTTCACAAAAACATGATTGCGAAGGTCCTTAATCGGAACTATACCAACAGAAGCGCAGCCGTAACCCTTAATTACACTCCATACCCTGAACATGGAAAGGGTGGGCCACCATCTGAAAATTGTGTGTTACGCGCTTCTCATAGCACGTGGAATATTTTCCTCGTTACGAGGGTCCAGGGGCATTTTCTAGAGGCATCTACCAGTCCAGTATTTCAAGGGAGAAGGTAAAGGAGGAGGGATCAGAGAAGGGAGGAAGGAAAAAAGGAAGGAGGAAGAAAAAGGAAAGGGAAGAGAGGCTCTCCGATGACAAGTGCCCTGGGACACCCTGGGTTCCAACACCGAATCCTCCCGTTCCGAAGTAATCATGGAGGGGAAGAGTGCTCATCGTGACACACTTCATATCTTGGATAGGGAGGGCGCGGCTGCATCACTGAAGCGTTCCAATGGCTGCGCTTCGTCCCAGGGTACTTGTCAACCGGGGGGACGAGGGTGCTAATCACTTGAAGAGCATTTGATTCCTTGTGAAGAACAGGGATTACTCTGCTTGAAATTGATTCATCAACTCAGGAGTTCATTGCTCTTTGCGCTCGGGCAGTGTTCGCTCCCGTTGTGGTGGTCCCAGTTCTGCACGAGTACCCATTAGCGCTTCTTCTGAGTTTATTACGGTAGAAACTAGATTTGACCTGGTCATGACCGCAGAAAAGCCTTCAATAAGAGCGCTTCGTAGGATGTCCCTCATGAGTATTTGAGGTTTACTGTCAGTCCCTACCCCGCGCCAGTTGTTTGGCCATCACATGATGCCATTTTACTCGAGGTCGTTGAGGTCGTTGTCGGGAAATAAACGATCACCAGCAGGATTCGCAACAGCAACCAGATCGATTCGGACGATGTTTTGGTGCCCCGGTGTTTGTCAGTTCCGACTTCGAAGGTTGTCTGAAAAGTTTGTCGGTGGTCGAGGACGACCTTGGTGAGAAAGCGCTGCTGCCGCCGCGGTGTTTTGAAAAACTGTCGACTTCCGAGGTTAAAACTTCGGGGACAAGTTGATTGCCGACAAGATAGCATAGGTAAGATGGCAATCGCTGCAGGTTCGTTCAAGAAGAAGTTCAAGAAAGAAATGAGCTGACTGGAGGTTCTGGAAGTCCGTGGGTCTTTGGAACAACTGACTTAGACGTCTTGCTGTTTGACATTAGAACTTCGGCGTTGCAAACGGTCCTAGTTCGACGAAGTTTCGGAACAGGGCTGCATCACCCCTGTCCATGTTGATAGATTCTCTGCGGAATCCCACCTCCCCCCAGAATTTGCTCATCTGCTATGAGCCCCGTTGCTATCCTCCCAGCCCCATGCCTTTGCCCGAAATTCTAGCGCTCGGCCGATCAGGGAGATGGATCAGGGGAGGGTAGCAAGGTTTTGGAATGAAAATAAATTCCCTATACTAGAATGAATCAAAAGTTGCATATTCTAAATTCGTAGCTAGATGGTTGGTTTTGCATGGTTTCACATAGGTGACATGGAAACCACTTGCGCTGACACTGTTTAT